TTTGGCTTTGGCGACTATAGATGTTGTGGACATCTTGGTCAATATTTACAGCAACAATACTCCTACAAGTAAGAGCCTCGGCTAACGTCCATACGCTCCCTACAGCCCTTCGGCGCGAAGTCAAAAACTCTAGCATGTTGAAGTACACTAACTGTACAATTAGTGCAAACAATCAGTAAAACCTCGTCTTTGTACACCACAGTCTTTTGACAATGTCATTGTGCAATATTCTAAATTTTCTTAAAAATTCACAGCAAACCCTAAACGTGCAACATTTGGAAATGGTGTGAGAATGGAATGTACAGATGCTTGCGCATATATTGTGCGCTCATCCTTCCACGTGGGGCGCTGTGATAAATGGATTTATAACGCATTCACTACATAAATCCGATTATACCAGGTCTTTACAAAAGTAATTTTGTTTCCCATTTTTATATTGGGATTGTACCAAACAGGTGAATTCAGATACTTAGATTTCATATATGACTTGTTATTGAGCGTCTTCATGAAACATAGCCTTGAATTAAACACATCTTTCCAAAAATCATTGTTATTTTTACAATAAGACAAGACACAAACTTCACCAAAATCAAAGAGTTTACGCAATATGTTTTAACCTTTTATTGCCAAAAAATATCAAACCATGGTTGATTGGTTCTTGTTAATCTTTTAATCAAGGAGCACATAAGAGATATAATAAAGCTATTTATACCCAAAATTTTCAATCTTCCTTGTAAAAAATCTTGAGTAATAATTTTCCTTTTTCTTTATCACATTTTGATTTCCATATAAGCTCAAAGATTTCTCTGTTCAATAATGATGAAATTTCTTTACTTGGATTTGTTAAAGATATAAAAAAAAGATGGTTAAGTTTTGGTAAGACTAATGTTTTCAGAACTGTGACTCTTCCAATAGGAGTAAGAATCCTTCTTTTCCATTGCTGTATTAATGCTTTGATTTTCGGTATTTGGACATTTTAGTTTATATCAATAAGTTTATCTAGTTCTAATGAAAATTAATTCCACGTAAATTAAAGTTCTGTAACCCCATTCAAGTTTCAAACGAGAATGATGAAAAACTTGATTTGAGAATTTTTTAAAACCTATCCAAACAAATTTAGGTTTTAAGGTGTTAATTTTAAGTCCTGTAAACTTTGAGAAAAAATCAATTATTGTACCTAATGCTGCAAAAAGTGATACATTTGAACCATCAAGGGTAAGCCAGGTATCATCTACATATTGGGATATTTTATGTTCTTTCTTGTTAATTACAATTTCTTTAATGCTTTGATTTTGTTTAATCATAATTGCAAGAATTTCCGCACAAAGAAGAAACATATATGGTGCTACGGGATATCCCTGACGACATCCTGTTTGGATATTAAATTGTTCATATAAAAATCCACATACAGATGTACAAAAGAGCTAGGTTCACTTTAGGCCATTATTTACACACTGAATTGTCGACGGATTTTTCCGTTATTTCCCGATCATGACAAGGAGCACACGGCGGGTGTGACCGGTCGGCAGGGGATGCTCACTCCTCCATGGCACCTGATCCCACCTCTGATGTTTAGAGGTCCGTATTTGCTCTGCTCCTATTTTGTATTGTTTAATGGACTTTTGAGCTTGAATACTGTTCGTTATCTCCATATATTTCATTTATGCATAAAATGTCCCTGTCCTTATATCAATCAGTCGATATCACCCTCTGTCCCATTTCATATATCAAAATAAAATAGAGACTTAGTGCTTTCACTTCTTATAATAAAATTTCTTTTTGAAAATCCAGGTATTGAGAAAATGCAATGTTCTTGAATTTTGCAGAAAACATGCGTATTTGACTACCTTCAGCAAAGAATTAAAATATGAGCACAGCCCACGATCCAAAAATTAAAACATGTTTTGTGATCTTCAGAAACAGATCCTTCATTAAGTAATTGCATATTTTGGATAAGAAGTTGTGCTCTATATAAGATATAGAAAAAATACCTCAACTTTTGGCCATTTCTAAGGGAATTAACAGGATATGGGAAAATGACGCATTTTATGACGTCATAATGCATTGACAAGAGAGAAAATTACGTCATGTTCAATAGGTACACGGTCACCGAGGGTCCAAGTTATAAATACTGCATTTTCAACCAAAACTGAGCAGTTTCGATTTTTCAGAAATTCTCAGGGCCAAAAAAGGCCCTAAGTGGCTCTTGGTCTTTTAGTATTTCGAATTTTTACCCATTCTATAATGTTTTACCAACCCTCCAAAAAATTAAAACATTATACACAAAGGTCCAGGATATTGAATCAAAAGCCTTTTCAAAGTTTATAAGTACAAGCAATCCCGATATATTTCTAGATTCAGTGTAAGTCATAAGATCATAAAGAAATATGGTATTGTCACCTATATATCTTCCTTTTAAAAATCCAAGCCGAATATTTGATATAATATTTTCCAGGGTTGATCTTATCCTATAACTAATACACGTCAACCTGATAAAAGTTTATAGAACACATTTAAAAGTGTAATAGGCCGCCAATTTTTCAGAAATTCTATTGGCTTATCACCTTTTGGTAAACAAGTAATTATCCCTAGTCTTTGAGAAATAGGAAGTTCTTTTTTTCTGAAATCTGTCATTTATGGCAAGTACTATGACATGTTTCAAATCTGACCAAAAAAAACAAAATAAATAAATAAAAAATAAAAATAAAAATTAAAAAAAAAATAAAAATTCAGCAGTGAAACCATCACCTCCTGGTGTCTTAATGTTTTTAATGTTTCTTAACACCTATAAGACTTCATTTTCAAAAATATTTCCCTCAAGTGTATTGGCAACATAATTTTCAAGTTTTGGAACCTCAGTAACTCTTATAATATCTGCAAGATCTATATTGAGAAGTTCTGCATCTGCAGAAGTATAAAAATATTTGTAATACATCCTGATTCTATTTAAAATTTCTGACTGATTGTAAATAATTTCATTTTCCTCTGTTTTGTCCTTTTTGATAATCTTATTCAAATAGGTACGGGATTCTGGTTTGCAAAAATATTGAGATTGTTTTTCTCCATCTTTAACCCATCTGGCTCGAGACTTTATAACATGACTTTGTAGTTTTTCTTTTCACAAATTCTCAAGACTTGTTTTATTCTCCTCTATTAACTGTGGATTCAATATATTCTCTGCCTCTAATTATTCTATTTGTGCAATTAACAAGGCTTCTTCTTTATATTTTCTTTCTTTTTATATGACGAATATGACATAGTTATTCCTCTAATCTTCATTAGAAGGACTTCAGAAAATGTACTGTAATTAATATCTTTTATAAGCACATTATTCTTTTCATATTGGTTTCTAATAGACTCTATTGTTGCTTTAACCTTGCCAACGTACGTTTTGTTTGGAAGTAAAGAGTTGTTAAATTTCCAGACACCTTTCCCTTTCTTAAAGGTATTAAATTTCATATCAAGAACCATCGATGAGTGGTCTGATCTGTAACCCTGGTTTAATTGCTAAATTTTCAACTCAACCAAATTACACCTATTTTCAGAGATTAAAATATAATCTAATCGTCATTGTTTTAATGGATTTTTCTTTCGCCACATAAACATTTTAAATTTGGATTCAAAATCCTGAAGTACATGTAGTCAATTATTTGTAGATCATTCATAATTTCTAAAAGTTTTTCCCTCGCCTTTGGATTGTTATATGTTACAATAATTTTCTGTTTCCATTGAAGGGTCAAGAGCCAGATTAAAATCACTGCATAATATAAAATAATCATTATCAAATTCTAAAAAAGTCTTTCTTACCATTTCATAAAACTGGATTATCAGTGTTTGGTCCATAAATATTAATTAAAATAACTTTATCATCCTCGAGAGTCAATAGATTACCGTTATCGTCCTGTTTCTCCCTGTGATTCTGAAATTCAAAATTCTTATTAAAGAGAATGCACACCCCTCTTGAGTTTGACTTGTACGAATTGAAAATACATTTATATCCCCATTGTGTTTCAACGTAAGGTTTTATTTTTTTTTTATAAAGTAGGTATCTTGAAAACTGAGCATTGAATAACATGACCTTTTTTCTTATAATAATTTAAACATCCTGTCTTTTGGTACCTGTTGCCAAGCCTTGAAAATTCACCTTTGCTATTTTAATTGAGCCACAAATTTAGTTTGTAGGGATTTAGAAAAATGCGATAAAGAAAAATCATAAACAGTGATGAGCACCATCTTTCCAGATAATCAAAACACATAATAGGAAACCAGGGAACATGCACACACTCACCGACACACTTCCATAAAAAATAAACATGATATATAATATTTGGATGTTTTACTGACTACAGATGATGAGGATCAACTAACAACACAATTGTATGACAAAAAAGATTATTTCTTGTTTCCATCGTCAACCTTCCTTATTTATGTAGTAATATTCCGCTATCACTTGCATACGATCAATTTTTAAATCGAGACAGGCTACTGATAGATAAGATGATGCTACAGGGATTTTAACAACCTCGTTTAAAGTCAGCATTACATAAATTCTATGGTCTTTATAATGACTTTGTTAATAAATATAACCTATTATTGGGTCGTATTTTGACTGACGTGTGTCAATTGTTAGACCTTTGTTTTTATACTAAATTTGACTACGGAATGTTCCGATTACCTGATCAATACATAGGGCTCACGGCGGGGGGTGACAGGTCAACAGGAGATGCTTACTCCTCCTAGGCACACGATCCTACCTCTGGAATTTCCGGGGGTTGTGTTTTATGCCCTGCTCAAAACTTTGTATTGTTTATAGATTTTTTTAAATCGATCACTGTTCGTTATCTTCACCCTTTTCAATAAAAAGGACCAAAACCATTTTTCACGATCGGCATTGTTTAAAGTTCTTCGTAAGCAGATTATTATATTTCGTATAAAGATATTAAGATTTGTCGATGATTCAGGTTGTTGAGTTAAATATAATAGCATAAGACTATGATTACCCGGAAAAACCATTGCTTTTGCAAGTCACATCAGCTTCCCTTTTGCCCCATCCTCTGTCACACACACTATGCTGTTGTCCACCTAGATATATTTCGACTCGGCCTTCATATGAAGAGCTCCCATTAACAATTCTCACTGAATCTGAAAAAAAAAAACAACAACAAAAGATGAAGTAAATAAAGTCAATCGTAATAAAGTCAAACGTAAATAAGATTGTGGTCCATCGGATGAGACAGTATAAACCGAGGTCCTGTGTCGCAGTAGGTGCTAGCATGAAAAAGATCCCTCACTGCTCAATGGCCCTCATTGCTGAGTATAGCTCAACATTTGCAGCCCTCCACCGGCAAGTGGTGGCGTCTCTATATGAGTGAAAAATTCGCGAGAGGGACGTTAAACAACAAACAAACAAAACAAACAAAGAAGATTTAAAAAGTCTGTTTCACCTACCATTTAATGCATGGTAACAGACGACTCCAGCGTGTCCGCCATTAACACAGCTGCTGGATGCAACTACTGAAAGACGACACCCGAACAGAGAAAGTTCAAGTCCATTACAGTAGACATTACCCAACATCCGCGATTGTCCACTTCCTTCTCCAAACACAGACGACAAAGCCGGCAGACCTCTACGAAAGAATTATATTTTCCAAGCAAAATTATTCAAATCTTTATAATTATACATTTATTGACTGGGTTCGAGGGCAATATGTGTTTTGTCGGACCCAAGAACCATTTTGGTTCGAGGGGTCGACAAAACGTATTTTACCCGAGAACACAGTCAATACATGTTTTATTATATCTTTCATTTATTTATTTTTTTTACTGGCTTCCATGATGAAAATTCTCTTTACCGCACTTCGGAAAAACTCGGTCAATTCACCTAACATTTAGCTGATCCCGCCCACAGTGTGACGTAAGCGATCCAATATCTCATCGACAGGTCCAATATCTTACTCTGCGGTCAAACATCGATTTTTTAATGTCCGCTCAGTAAATCATTGTAAATGTTAGACTGTTTTAATATATATTTATATAGGAACCAATTTTTAAAGGTATAACATTTTAGTACATTCCTGATGATCAAACCCATAATGTTCAAAAATATTCTTATACAAAGGTAAGGTAAATTATTTGAATAAAAACAATATATTATACTTACAAAGCAATTACACAAGTGTAAAAAATTTAATGAACTGAAAACGACTTCTAAAAATTTTAGAAAATATTTGAAACTGTAATATTCAAATGTGAATTTTTAAGAACTTTTTAAAGAACAAATCTAATTACCCGGAATACCCAAGGCTTCTGCAAAGCACATTAGTCTCGCGTTTGTCCCAGCCGCTGCCACAAACACTATGCCATTCGTCATTCAACAAAACCTCGACTCGGCCTTCATTTAAAGAGCTTCCATTAATAAAACGTACTGAATCTGAATCATAAAAGTAAACAGAGTTATAAACAATGAACAAATTATAATCCAACATTCATAATTGTCAGCCTAACCAACCATTTAGTGAGCGGTAACAAAATACTCCGGCGGTCCTGCCATTCAAACAGTAACTGGATGTAACAACTGAAGGTCGACACACTAACAATGAAATCTCGGAACCACCACAGGAAACACTTAACATCCATTTCTGTCCACTTTTCTCTCCAAACAAAGACGACAAAACAGACAGACCTCTACAAAAGAGAAATTCTTTACTATTTATAATACTCCTAATTTCGTAATAACATTAAAATATTAATGATAAGATCTATCCATAGTTTCCAAGATCGTTTTATAAAAACTTAAGGCAAGGAACTTTAGGAAATCTAACATTAATTGAAGGAAAACGTATACGGGTAACATAATTTCCAAATTCTACAGGTAAACTACATATATAGAGAAACATTTTGAGAAATATAACACTATGAAAATAATGTTTAAAATTCTTCCTCAAATTTAATTACCCGGAATACCCTTGGCTTCTGCAAGTCACGTTAGCTTCATCGTTGCCCCAGCCGCTGTCACATACACTACGCCATTCGCCATTCATCAAAATCTCGACTCGGCCTTCATTTATAGAGCTTCCATTAACAATTCTTACTGAATCTGAATTTTCAAAATAATTTGGAAGTTAAGAAATAAATAAATCAGCATTAATAACTATTATATCAAACAACCATTCCTTGAGTTGTATTAAATCGTTCTGGTTGCCCACCAATAAGTACAGTTGCTGGATCCAACTAATGATATACAAAATGAAAAATTACCAGTTACCATTACAGAAAGTTTTCTATAGACGTGAATATAGCAAGGATTATGAGGGTCATTTCCCGTGACCACCATATTGAAAATTTACCACCATATTGAAAGTTTTATTAAGGTCTCCGTCTTCACGGAAGACCTTATTGATTCAACTTATCATTATTATAATTGACTTCAAAATTTTTGTGCATGCGAATTCAAAACTATTGAATGGATCTACAAGAAATGTCAAGGAATTATGTATTGTAACATATATTTGGCCTATCCGAGAGAACATTTAAAAATTCACTTCTGGTGTCGAGTTACAGATCATTTTCTGAATTCTTTGTCGTCGGCACTTCCGGTCGCTCACGGAAGTGAATTTCAAAAATAGATGTTTACAACGTTTTCATTTTCTACGATATTAGTAGGGTTAATAGAGCGTTTATAAAAATGCTAAATATATAATTTGATTTAAAATTTAATGAACCATATTCTTGATATTCGTCGTTTTCAATTTGAAGCTCTTTCCTCTGTTGGTGTAGTGGTTAGCGTGTCGGATTTTCATGCGGAGGATGCGGATTCAATCCTCAGATTGTCCGATATTTTTTGTCAATTGTTTCAGCTTAAATTTACGTATTTATCATTGATATGATGCATGTCTGCTTCTTTCTATTGTTAAGAGTTTTTATAATTTTCATGAACATTGCATTTACCTCCTAGGATTGCCAAAAATGTTGGGTCTACCTTTACACATTAACTGTTAAATACTACAAACTTAAAAAAAACAATTATTTCTTTTATATTTTATGTTTGTCAGGAATGAGAAGTTACAGGGATTGCACAACTGTAATAGATATTGTGTTATAAGTAATAGCTTGTCAGGAAGCTTGCTCGACTACAGCAATCAATATTTACAGTAAGTAATGACGTGGCAAATGTTTCTTTCGCATGAAGGGCACCTGTCATATTAAATGAATGCAAAACGCCAAAAAAAAAAAAAAAGAACTATTTTTCTTTGAAAGATTGTTGAATGAAATTGATAGGAATATGTTTTATAGATGCACGCTACTGAACATAAATGGTATCAAATTCCTTATCCGTCGTAGGGCGAGACATGTTTTGTTAAAAAAAACGTTCCAGACTTTCAGATTTCTTGTCTTTGGTTACCGCACATTTTGAAGGCATTTCACAAAATATCAAGACTCTTATGGAATAAAACTTGTCTCCGATTCATCAGAAGAATGGAGAGAGAACATGAAAGTACATAAAATTATCTGTGCTCACGAAAACAACAGGACTACAAGTGGAATGTGCATGCATGTGCGTAATATGTTAAATCATTATTATAGATTGCTTATTGTCTTTAAATAAAATAAAGCAAGTAAGTAAAAGAAATGAATGAATGAAATTGGTCTTTTCATGAATGTATAACTAATCGGAATACTTCACATTTGGCCTAAACAGGAAAATAATATATAAAAGTATGAAATCTTAGCGAATTCATTTCTTAAGTGTTACTTGCCTATATGCGATAAACTATATGTAAAATATGATAAATATACATTCCAAAGATCGAGAATCAAGCTATAGGAACATAATTTTTATTCCATGGAAACAATCACATCTACTCAATAGAACATACATCGAAAACAGAAAAGGGCGCGAAGATTTACGCGTAAAATAATGTATTCTGTCCACATTTCAAAAGTAGATAAAAAGGACTGGTGCAGTAGTATAGAAACGCAGAAAAAAAAAGATTTCATGAACATGTCTGTATTTGGCATAAGTTAATGAATAAGGAAGTAAACATATCAAAAGTCTGCATCAGTAGTATGATTCTTTCCTATGCTAACAGTTTTTGTTAAAACGAATTCCGATGTGGATCTGCTTGCAGAACATTTGGCTACCTAACTATCAACTTATAATTTCGTATTATGAAAAAAAAAATTCTCAACCTGGTATGAGCCATTGAGTGCAAAATAAACAACGATTAGGACTGGAACGTTCCCTTGCGTAGTGGTTTTATACGGGCAATCCGGGTTAAATACCGAGTATGTCTGGAATTTTTATTTATTTATTCATTTTATTCATTTATTTATTTATTTATTTTTTTTTTTTTTTTGGTCATTTTTTTCTCTCAAGGTTACGTTTTGATCTTTAAGAATGATATTTGGCGGTTTCTTTTCCTGTGTGTATTCTGCGCTTTTTTTCAAATTTCTTACAAATAAAACAATCTTTAAAATAATGTTTTTTTGTGACTCATGTTATTTTTATGTGTCTTTAAACTAGCATATATAAATGAAATATGGAGATAACGAACAGTAATCAAACTCAAAAGTCCATTGAAACAATACAAATTGGGAGCAGAGCACAAACGAATCGGCTCTCATTTAAAGAACTTTTATTAATAATACTTCCATTTTAGACATCCCATCTAAAACATGAGAGATGGGATCATGTGTCATGGAGAGTAAGCATCCCCTGTCGAGCGGTTATAGCCGCCGTGTGCTCATTGTCATGATGGGGCAAAGGGAAAAATCTGTAAACAATTCAGTGTTTAAGAAATGGTATAAATATTAGTATGAAAAATGTCAGTCAGCATTCGATAGTAGATGGTAGTTGCTGACAAGGTCATTTTATCGGCCATGGAACTTGCAAAATACTTTAATAGATATATTGTTGATATCCTTGTTTCATCAACTTGTTGAGGCAAGTCAATAGCTTGCCTCGTTGTAAACATTGTTCGTATGTATCATGCTTTTGAGTATCAAATTAGCTTGGAGATATAAACCTCAAAAGCAAATATTCAAATATGAAACAGGTGAGTCAGGCTCTCTCTATCTTTTATTTTAAGTACATGTGGATAGATATTATCGACATATGAATGGAATGAAATACATGTGACTCGCGATCTCTCGAAGTTCAAGGGTTCAAGAAAAGTTCGAGAGATCGGGGGGTTCGAGAGATAGTAAGTGAATAAAATCCGGAATTTTCAGTTCCGATCATCATTGTTCTACTATTATACATACTGGAAGTATATGTTGATAGTATCATTACAAGTTTTCATTCGTATTTTACAGGTACAGTCCCTGAAACGTTCTACTTTCCCATTTTTCCGTTCGCTCACCGTTCGTTCACCGTTCGTTCAGCGTGCGTTCACCGTTCGTTCACCGTGCGTTCACCGTTCGCTCTCCGTTCACAGTTTTGCGTTCACCGTTCACCGTGCGCTCGCGTTCACCGTTCACAAAGCGTTCAGCGTTCGCTCTTCGTTCCGTTCACTTTGCGTTCACCTTGCGTTCAGCGTTCACCTATCGTTCAGTTGTCATTGCCATTCGGAACTCCCAAGTGAAAGGACTTACCTTTTTGTAGGTAAGGGGTTACAGATTTTTTAATTTAATACTAACATATCGTGTTTGAAGAATCATTATTTCATGGGGGAAAAATCTAAGATATACATTTTTATTATTCTAACTTAGCTATTAGGTTATTTATTAAATTACTCTGGAAAAAAATGTTGTTATAAGCACATCCTGTACCTATGTAGAACGATGCTGAAATATTAAATTTAACTAAGGCCAATGTGCAATTAAATACTTCAAGCACTGCAACATTTTGATGTTTTGTTAAAGACGACAAATCGTTAATGGAGATATAATTATCCAAGTCAAATAATTACGCAGCAAAATTACGAAAATATTTATTTCTAACGCGTTTTTTTTATTCAATTACTACAGAAAATATGATAGAACTAGTTCTGAGAGTTATACATACTGCGGATATCCTGTAAATTTATTATCTTTGGAGCGAATTAAATTGATAGTGTGTTTAAAGGAAATATTTATTTAAAATGTAATGCACTACAGAATATTCGCTACTATAATACATGTATGTAAAGTCTATAGTTATAGAGAAAAAATCTTTCTTCACCGTAACTTTATATGTTTGCAATTCGATATAATTAATACCCCCCTCTTTTCCCCTAAATCTGTTACTTAGTCAGTACTGTATTTCCAGAAAATTTTAATTAACCTGTTAAAAAAAAGTTAAGGTCTTTTTTAGAACAAAATTTCAGTCTCAAAACAAACATGCATCTAAAAAAGTCACAAAACAATAGTAGTTCAAAATGTACACGTGTCGGCGGTGGTATTTGAAATTGGCAGAGAGTATGTTTCAAATTCAAGTGTTAATGCCCAATATATTTTATTCACTAATTATTCAAATGTTTGTATCAAATCTATAAATGATAAAAATAAATGTTATATCTTGTTGGAAATACTTTCACTTCGTCTTCGATGTGACGAAACTTTCACACCTGCACAGTGTCGAATGATTTTGATTGACAGGACAAGCACGTGGACTTCGTGTGAACTTGAAGCAGGAAAATAAAAACGAGTAATACTGT